GCAGTACTGGCATCCCATATGGGTGACGGTTTGAATCCCGGCTGCTCTACTTCCAATTCAGCTCTCTGCTATGGCCTGGGAAAGTAGCAGGGGATGGCCCAAGTCTTTGGGCCTCTGCACCCATGAGGGAGACTTGGAAGAAGCTACAGGTTCCTGGCTTCAGATTGGCCCAGCTCCAGCCATTGCAACCATTTGGGAAGTGACCCAGCAAATGAAAGACCCCCCCGCCCCCCCGCCTCTGTAACTCTGCCTTTCAAATAAGAAATCAATCTTAAAAAAAAAAAAGAAAAAAAAAACCAACTGATCACAGAATATGTTCAAAGTTTTAATTACTTAGAAGGCTTGGTATAAACAGAGATTTGTATTAACTTACTACTGATCACTCTTTTTTCTGTCAGTCTCTTCTGCTAAAAAAACAAACAAAGCAAACCAAAAAACAAAGCAAACTTCCTGAAATGAGTTAATCTGTATCTTTGCCTAAGCGAGTGCTTCATCTAGATCAGTGATTCCAAACCATCAAAGTGGTGTTGGACTGGCTATATCTGAATCATGAAGACCTTCTGGAAAATGTAGATTTCCAGCCTGTTTCTATACTCACCCCTACCCTCACACCCATTCTAATTTTGTGTGGGTCTGGGTAAAGCTTAGGAGATTTTTTTTTAATGACCCAAGCTTTGGAAACCAGTAATCTATATGACAATAGGTGGTTCACAATAACGGAAGGGCTATACACTCTCATGAAGAACTATCACAGTACAACAGTGACGGGGATAGGTAAAGACCAAGCCATATTTCCTTTTCTTCCTTGGCACAGCACTCGACTGCATCTTTCATCCACCCTTGCGGTTCGGTGAGGCCGTGTGGCTGAGCCCTGGCCATTGGAATGTGGAGAGAAGCGCTCTGCACCACTTCAGTCTGGCCCCAGAGAATCTTCCTGATTGGCTGCCTTCCTTTGTTTCCAGATTCACAGATGCAGTGGAGAACCATGAGATGCTAGAGGACTGTCAGAAGCACAAGACAGAAACAGTCCAGGTACCCAAATGTGTGTATGGAGCAGAGCTGCAACCAACACCAGACTCCCACTGGATCATCAGGTGCAAGAGAAACCGACTTTTATTGTGTTGACATACTGAGACACAGGGATTCTGTCGCAGACATTGGCTTACCCTAATACAACTACTACCTTAACACTTTTAGTGGACTTTGTGGTTGATTAAGCATTTCACAGCCATAAGGAAATAGACTCACATTTAACTAAAAAGGGTTAGGACCACAGGTCATGGTTGACCTTTAAAAGAAATTCTGGCATGAGCTTATTTTTCTGTGTTTTTTTTTTTTTTTTTCTCCTTCTCACATCAGAATGCAAGGGGCAGGGCAGACAAAGCAAAACATCTGGCTACTTGAGAGCTCCAGCTAATAAGATTTCAACTTAATAAATTTGTATAACAGTTACAGGAGTAAAGATGAAATATAGTAACTAATAAATCTGAATTTTTAAAGTCCAAATAGATATAAAAGTCTGTGAAAATTTAAGGCTTAATAGAATTACACAATTTGAAGAGTATTCAAAAGGTCATGATATTTATTTATTTTTGAGAAAATCTGTAGGAAGAAATTCTACCACTGAGCTCATCATTGTTAGGACTCTGGGGAAGATTCTACAGCATAGCATTCAGAAGCAAGGTTAGGAATCAGAGTGGGGTCTAAATCCCAGCTCTTCTGCTTATTAGTAGGAAAGTGCTCAATAAACTGAACTTCACTTCCACATCTGCACAACGGTGATGTCACCACCTACTTCACTGGGTTGTTACAAGATTTAATAGGCTCTAACACAGTATCGGAGGGTTCTTCAAAGGGTTCACAGGTGGGGTAGGCATTTTGCCTAGCAGTTAAGATACCTGTGTACCATATCAGTGCCTGGATTTAACACCCAGGTCCTGACTCCAGCTTCCTGTTAGTGTGAACCACAGAAGGCACAGTGATTGGGTTCCTGTTACCCATGCAAGAAACTGGGACTGAGTTTCCTGGCTTCAGCTTTTAGGGCCAAAGTGACCCTGTGGATGAGTCTCCCTCTCCCTCTCCCTCTCCCTCTCCCTCTCCCTCTCCCTCTCCTCCCTCCCCCTGTCCCCTTCTTCTTCTCTCTCCTCTCCCTCTCACTCTCCCAAGTGAATAAACTTAAAAAAAAAATTCGTGGGAAAATGGAATTAGAAGGTTAGTTTATTTTAGTGCAAAAAATTGAAAATCCATGTATAGTTTGTTCAGAACATATATTTTCCATAAATTTTTAAAGACCCCTCACCTAGCACATTGTATTCAACAATTGCTTATATTAATACTGATATAGTAATTTCAATATGTCTTCTTTTTTTTAGGACAAGTTATTATCTCACAGACAAGGAAGACCTTGAGAATTTGGGAGGCATGACGAGTATGTTTTTAATCCAAAAAGGAAGCTCCGAGAGCTGGCGGTGGCTGTGCTTGGATTTGTATGTAGGCGAACCCTGCTCTTGTATAGCGACAACTAGAATGCTACTGTCTGTGTCTTAAACCTTTTTCTGCCATGCATGAAGACCAGTGTTTGGAAAGGATCACTGGTGGTTAAAGCTCCTCTAAAGTTGGTAGCACCCTCCCTGTCCTAGTCCTCTGGTCTCGGCCATTTTTAGGTGCTGAAGCTCTTCCTACCGTAACCTATCTCAAACAGGCGTTGTCTCCGGGAGGCATCAGTGCCAGCCTGCCAGGGAGCGTCCAACTGCCTCTACCTGGCCGCCCAAAGACAGCAGGGTGAGCCTGCCACCTCATTTCTTTTGATAAGCTACCGAGGAGACACAATGTCTTTCCCAGTTTTCTAAGTTTTAGTTTGAAAATTGAATTCGGGAACTTGTCAACGCTGACAGGCGAGCTTTAAAATTCAGTTCAAAGACAATCTGCTTGTACTTTATAAAATCCGTCTTCTGACTTCAGAGCAAGAGGATTTTTTTTTTCAAGATCTCCACTATGTAGGGAATGAAAAACTTTAGTTTTTCTTCTTTCCAATTAAAGTTGAGTTCTTATAAAAAAATTACATTTTTTTCCTCTTCCTAAAACAATTTTTCTGCCCTAAACCACCTCTTTCAGCAAACAGAACTCAGTCCTGCATTTCAAAAAGCAAGGCTGAGTTTTGTGTGTGTGTGTGTGTGTGTGTGTGTAAGGCCACCCCTCCTCATCAGCAAACACTGAGGATATAAATAGATAACACATGGCATTAATCACCAAGAACGACACTGTTCAAGTGACAGGATTCATGACACTTGAGGCTTCAAAAATAATAATAAGCAAAGCCTACGAAAGAAATTGCTGCAATCTCTAAAGTCACAAAATTCACCCCTGGCAGCAGAGCCCTCCATCGGAGGCTCTATTGAGAGGTAAAATTACCAGGACTCAAAGGGATAGGTCGAAACCCTAAACATGGCAGGAAACCAAAGGTAAAACCAGGATCCAATGACAGATGGCAAAGACCTGTCAATGCCTGGGAAATTACACGGTGAAATTCGTTTCTGACATTTCATTCACACAAGAATAACAGGACCCTGAAGTTAAACAATGACATTCTGAAAGGAAACACCTCTGCGGGTGACACTTCTTGCATAGTTCAGCCTCCAGGGCATACACCCAAACCAGAATGTCATATTGCTCAGGTGTGTGGGGGAGGAAGTGGGAGGTAGGAGGAAATGGGGAGAGAGGGAGAGAGCGGATCTCTAAGCAGAGGGAGGAGGGGAAGGGCGACAGTTTGCTCTGCTCCTTCCCCAGGGACCTGAGCATTCACTTTATAGATTTTTTTTTTTCTAAAGTGACATTTGAAAGGTGCTGCAAACACCCATTCATTTGGGTGCTGCTTGGCCTTTAAATGTAGTATTTCAACTGAGAGTTCACGCTGGGGTGGAGGGCGCTGAGATGTTTTAAGGAAAAGTAAAGGAGCCAGACAGCTCCCACTGTCTAGAAGACCCTCTTGAAAGCAGGAAGCACGAAAATTAGCAATAAAATGCTAATTCGACCACTCGGGCTCAGGAGGGCACAAGCCCGACTGCAACCTCCTGGACAGTTCCATTGGTCTGAGCAGAAAGGCATCAAAGGGAAGCAATACTGTGATTCTAGAAAAAACCAGTGTACATTGGGGCTGGGAGGAGGGGGGTGTTGAGGTAGAAACTGTGTTCATTTTCCCAACATGGAAAATGATAGAAAATGCTTTTTAGAGATGGAGAACTCAAGAAAAATACAGTCCCCAGTAAATTCCAAAGGCAAGCTCTTAGTTTCAGTTGCTAATTTCTATCCCTTTACCTTCATTTCGATAATGATTATGAATTATTATTTTTATTGATTTATTTTAACGTTTTCTCAAAGTGGCTTTAAAAATGAAATTTTTTTTTTTTGATAGGCAGAGTGGACAGTGAGAGAGAGAGAGACAGAGAGAAAGGTCTTCCTTTTGCCGTTGGTTCACCCTCCAATGGCTGCCGCAGCCGGCGCGCTGCAGCCAGCGCCCCGTGCTGATCCGAAGGCAGGAGCCAGGTACTTATCCTGGTCTCCCATGCAGGGCCCAAGCACTTGGGCCATCCTCCACTGCACTCCCTGGCCACAGCAGAGAGCTGGCCTGGAAGAGGGGCAACCGGGACAGAATCCGGCGCCCTGACTGGGACTAGAACCCAGTGTGCTGGCGCCCGCAGGCGGAGGATTAGCCTATTGAGCCGCGGCACCGGCCAATAATGAATTTTAATTGAGGATCACTAGTACATTAGAAATAAATCCTTAAAATATAAAAAGCAATAAACATATTTCTCTTATTATCATAGCATAAGCATCTTATTATAGCATAATAAGACACACACACTGTACCTCCCTACATTCCACCTTTGTTTTCTTCTTTGATAAACACAACTGCTTGCAACTCTGAGTGACACTGAACTACCCAGGCACCCCTCCCTGGCCCCAGCACATGCAGAACTGTTTCAAAAAAGGTGATTGCGCACAGTATCTTATTTCCTGATGTTTCTTCCCATCTGAAGCATCAGACTTTCCCCAGTGAGTCTCTGAAACACAAAACAGGATGTTTAATTTGTTTAAGTTTCCAATGCAATTTACCAGAGACAAAAATAAAATACCATGGCATTTTGCTGGCATCTTAAAAAAAAAGAAACCCTCTCTTGGAAGTACAATGAACCTCATGAGATCTCAAATACGAATCTCCTATCTGTATGCTCACATATTTTTTGAGATTTTGTTCACTGAAGAATAGTTTAACATATTCCAGCCCATGCACTTAGCTTCCAACAGAACCGGTCTTCTCATGAGGCTGCCCCCAAGGTCTCCCACAGCTAAACAGACCCAAGCAGCCTCCCACAGTCCCCTATTCCAGCCTCAGTAATCAAACCATTCTGTTCACAGGATCATCTTCATTTGAAAAAGGTTCTCCTGTTTAATGGGATAGAGCACGAAGCTCAGCATCAGCCCTGAGTTAAAAATCTTTAAAGAAAACTTCTATGATGTGAGTCAGGTACTGCCAACTATGCTTTCATTATTTTAAAATGAAGCTTGAAATGAGATTTTTTTTTTTAAGACTGAGAAACTTATCTTCAGTCCCTGGTTTAGGCATTTGTGCACATCAGCCCAAGGAGGTGAAAGACACGACAGAGTTTAAGAGGTAGAGGTCACTTATTACTACTTCTAATCCCTCGGTTTAGGTTTTGCACTTAATCTGCTGCCATTGATAGCCTATCATCCTGGAAAACTTTATTTCCCACTTTGGAGCGAGCTCCCAGCAATCTATTAGTCTACTGATTCTCCCTTGCAGTAGCAGTTTGGCTTGGGTCAGGACAAGAAACCCCAAATGTATAGAGTTCTTTTTCCTTTCTGTGGTTTCTCCTTGCTCTGTCTTGACCCTCCACTACCGGCTAGCTACTCAACAACCATATTTAGGTTTTTTTGGTACTAGCTATTTAGAATTCTTTGCAAGAAGAGAACATTTCTCTGGATAATTTAAGCAGAAAAGACTTTATCAAAAGGGTATCATACAGCTCGTGGAATAAATCAAAACCCTGGAGCTCCTAGCACAGAAAATGGTGGGAATGAAGAAAGATTTGAGATCTACTTAGCAGGAACAACTTGACAGTTGTAAATAGGCATTGCTACTGTACTGAATGAGTTCCTATCATTTTTTAAGTTCATTGTTTATATCACACATCTTAAGTTTTAAAGTATCAGAAGAAAAAGACTTAGGTCACATTTCTCAACCTTAACACCACTGATGTTTTGGATCAGATGATTTTTTGTTGTAGGGGTCTGTTCTGTACACTGGAAAATGTTCAGTAAGATCCCTGGCCTGTACACACTATATGCGCATGGGACCCACTGTAGTTCAGACAAAATATCTCCCCAGACATTGCCAAATGTCCCTCGCTGGCCAAAGCACCCTTAGTTGAGAAACACTGGCTTAGACTCAAAACTGCCCACCTCGCGACTTAGGAAAGGCCATGTGCCTTGACAGAAAACCCCATAAGACAAAGAGAAGGTGAGAAGGATCCAAACAGGAAGATGAGCTACTGTTTCCACAAGAGAGGTGAACTAAGGCTTACCATCCACTTCAATATCAGTAAGCAGTAAGCTGCAAATTGAGTTTTCCAGTCCATGTATTCTGGGAACAAGAAAAAAAAATGGAATTCAAGAAACTTTTGAAACCAGACTGTAGAAAAAGTAAACTAACAAAAAGTCGGATTGGTCCTTCCCAAAGCTGTAACACTTAGTATTAAGCACTGGCATGCTGGAAAAGCACAAGGCTGGTAAGGTGGGTGTTCTCTATTTTTATTAAAATTTCTCATGTTTCCCATTTGTTTTTAAATCCTGCCAGATCCTTTTCCAACTCTTAGTATCTACAGACTTGTGGTAATTGACATGGCTAATTTAAGGGAAACTGATTCCAAATCCCAGAGAACACCCAATGCATCTCTGTATTAATTAGTCAGCTACCTCTGTTGGTTCCAACATGGTGCTAATGAGACCAAAGACATAAATCCAATCCTCATGCCATATGGGCTCATTCAACAGCCAGCCTGGAACCCCACTCCACCCAGCCAACTCATAAATGTATATGGCTGCCGGTGGGAGTGTATGGATGTGTCCATACAAAGCCATTCCCACATCCACACCTTCTGCAGTGCAGCCCCCCACCTTCCCTGGGAAATGGGCTGTTCTTTTAGCCCCATAGAGCCGGGAGCACAGCACATGCCCCACACGGTACCATACCTTCGATATGTGGTGTCAGGTCTTTTCCACTACCCTGTCCAGCTCATATCCGCTTACACTCTTCCTTAGCTCCCTTTGCTGCTTCCTTTCCTTTCCGTTTATTAACATTTTGTAAAAACTGGAGTGCAGATCTTCATCTCCAATCTGCACTGACTCTAAACTCCTGATCCTGTATCTGCAGCAATGCTGGGCCTGTCTCTTCTTCCATTATTATTTCTGACAGCCCCAAAGAAATCACTTAATATTCATTTCAGTCTCCTTTTTCAGGCAGTCTTAAAAATCAATTTCAAAATTTTTCTTCTTGATCCTGTCATTTAGTACTGAAATGGCCCAAACTGATTACAAGGGACATTAGCGTTTCTCCCTTCTGCCCCCAGGACATCGGCTTCACTTTGCAAGTCTGTTCTGGTCTGATTTGAGCTGCCTTTCATTTCAGGGTTGTTGTTTTTCACTGAGAAACATTTTTTTTTTTCAGCTGTATTTGTAGAACAACTTTCGATCTTTTTTTATTAAAGAAAAAAGAAAAGAAAAAAAACAGCAGTAAAGAATAGGCAAAACACTCTGGCTGAGAGAAAAATCAGACTCAATGGGTGAAAAAAGAGAAAGACTTAAAATTGCAATTACTCTAAAACCTTCAAGAGGCCCACTTAAAAGCCTCTACTTTCCAAACAGTAAATTAGCAACAGTAATATCATCTTATTTATTAATAAAAAAGGAGAAGTTAAAATAGCTATTCATAATAAGATGCAGAAAGCTGCAAGGAAACCAAGACCAGAAAAAGGCCTGAAAGGGAAGAAAAGGTAAGGGCAGCTTTTATAAAAGAGTGAAAACCGTCCTTTGTCTTGGCTGCCATTCTGCGAAGGGTCTAGAGAGTTCGGTTCATTGTTCTTGTCAGACCCTTCTTCTTTGCTATTGTTTTGCTTTTTGGGTTGTCTTTAATTCTCCAAGTAACATCATTAGAGAACCGGAGAGGTTGAAAACCATCAGGAGGACTGGGGAGGGGGACGGGGCAGCGGGGCAGGTGTGGAATCTGACTAAATGAAATGTGTCCAAACCATTTCATTCCTTAGCCTGTATTTTTCTCTTCTTAGCAAGCAGAGGATGGTTTTCAAAGTACGGAAAGCCACAGACATGACATTAAAAGAGGGCTCTCTGGACCATGTAAAATAGTCATCCCTCTTGAAGACCGTAACCAAATCTTCGCTCTAAAAATCACTCCGTTAATATTTGTAATTCCACCGGCTTGCTATTTACATTATTACAATGTCCTAAGAGCTCCCCTCCCACCCCCCCATGATTCAGGCTTGCTTGAGAAAAAGAATACCTGCTAAAACCATGGGGCCATCGGCTTGAACGGCAAGATGGAAAACAATTGAATTTTTCTTACAGGATCAAATCATTCTTTCTGGGACTGTGGAACATCAAACATCGGAACTTGAAAGTGTCACCTCAGGAATTAACAAACACCAGAGTGTGCAACCAGCCCCAAACCACTTTCAGAGACTGAAGGTAAAATGTAGGAACCCATCCACATCACAGCAAGTGGAATCAAACAGACTCTGAAGAGTCTGATCTGGGGATGGTGTGTTCTGTATCTTTTCTGCCTGCTAAACGTGAGGCCTTTCTGAGCACAGCCAAGTGGCCTCCAGTGCCACCGGGAGGCCACTTCCATCAAACACAAGGGTACTGTCCTGGCTTTCTGTTTCTGATGGCCTAGTTCAGATTACCCTGAACTAAAGTCACTGAACATAACCAAGAGAGAGACACTGTTGGCTATTGGTGACTATGGTTTGGACACTGATTGATCCTCGTGTATGACACTCCATCTGCAACACAGAATGAGATGCTGCCCCTGATGAGGGATTCATCAATCTACACAGATATACAGGCAACCAGGTAAATGCCTTGACAATACGGGGGGAAATGGAACTGTTTAGATTAATTGCATCGTTTTAAATGAATGAGTCACCTTTACAGAATGTGGTAGTAGCTGGGAGAACATTAAAGACATGGTTTTGGATGTCTACATCCCATATTGGAGATTGATTCCTGGCTCCACTTCTGATCCAGCTTCCTGCTAATGGACTCCCTGGCAGGCAGCAGATGATGGCTCCAATACTTAGGTCTCTGCCATCCAAGAGAAAGACCTGGCTGGAGTTCCTGATTCCTGGTTATGGCTTGGCCCAGCACTGGCTGTCTGAAAGCACTTGGAGAGTGAACCAGAGGATGAGAAATATATCTTTCTCTATTTGCCCTTCTAATTAATTTTTTTAAAACTGTGTCATTCAAACTTTAAGAAAAGAAAAAACTTTAAGCCAGGCCCTAAGTCAAACAGTGAGAACACATGAGTCCTGCCTGCTTCCTCCTGAATGCCCCCCAAAGTTTCACCAGATGTCAAGCAAAGCTGATAGAAAAACATTCAGACTTCTCAAAATTGGGTTACAATTCCCTTTACCAAAGTTCCATTTATTTTACTAAGGAATTTACTTCTAAATTCTTGCGAATAACATTAGCTCTCTAAATGCATTTCTAATTGGACTAGAATTATAAACATAGCAAACTCGACTCATGTGCCAGAGACGGCAAATCTGAACTAGCCATGTAATCAACCCATGTCCCTAGGCTAACAGGCAGCACAGAACAAGAAATGTGACCCTGAATTGGGACAGCGCACCCTTAATCTAATGATGCCGTACTCCGCCTTGTTGGTCTTCACCTCACATTTCCTTATGATGCCTCAGCATGCATAAAATCGTCTTTCATTGTAATAAAATACATGTAATGCAAGCTCAATGCAGAATCCCATAACATTTTCATTGTCAGGTGATTTTCCAGGCCACCTAATAAAAACTTTCTCCAGAGACAGGACGAACCATGGACCCATCTCTGATAGCCTCCACTTAATCCTCCACTGCAAAGGGCAGTTAACATTTACAGATGATTAAGTGAAGTTCTAGGATATATACATACAGGGATGAGGGCAGGAGATGGCCTATTTTTATTTAGTCATCTCTGTTCCCGTGAAGCAGTTGGGTTCCTGACCCTACCACTGCAACTATTCTGTGTAACTCACCCTCATCTGAAACCCTTTCACTACACCAGCCTCAGAGGTATTCTGCCCAAATGCTTCTGATAAGGGTTCTGCAAGTCACCCATCAGATAACAGCTGTACATCCACTCCCCTAAGGAAATGTATGCTCAGGCCTCCCAGAGACATAATGGAGAAAAGCACTCAGGATTTCACAAATGCCTTAAGATTTCAAGAGTCAGCCATTCTCTAGCTGAGAGTGGGACTTGGTCAGCAACTCCAGAGCCCAGCGATTCATTGACAACTATTTGTGCAAGATCTTTTTGGTCTAATGTGTGGTTAGTAACTATGGAAAAGAGAAAAAAATACAATAATATTTACCAGTTGGTTCTTGGGCATCAGACAGCTTCGACTGTCTCTCTGGGGAGACTAGACTAATACACAAGGCCAAGGAATAAATTACTAAGCTAACATTTGCTGTTCTGAATTCAAATAAAAGAGGAATGAATTCATGGCTTGGTAATTATACTTCTCTCCCATACACATGAGCTCTGAGTAGCTCATGCATGACTTAACTTGACTTCAGGGATATTTCTTGGGGCCCTCTCCTGATATTTCAACATGCTTAGCTAATACCATTTCCTAAGCATGATTTCACTTTTAATTTTTTAAAATTTATGAGAAAGACAGTTAACTCCCATCTGCTGGTTCACTCCCTGCAAATACCTACAACAGCCAGGGTTGGGTGGGGGCTGAAGTTGGGAGCCAGGAACTCAATCCAGGTCTCTCATGTGGGTGACAGGACCCAAGTACTTGAACCATCAGCTACTGCCTCTCAAGGTGTGCATCAGAAGCAAGCTGGAATTAGGTGTTAAAACCAGGTACTCAAAATAACAACAACAACAACAACAAAAACAGGTACTTTATGGGGCCAGCACTGTGGCACAGCGGGTTAATGCCCTTGTCTGAAGCGCCAGCATCCCATCTGGGCGCTGATTCAAGATCCAGCTGCTCCACTTCCGATCCAGCTCTCTGTTATGGCTTGGGAAAGGAGTGGAAGATGGCCCACTTCCTTCGGCCACTGCACCAGCATGGGACACCCAAAAGAAGCTCCTGGATCCTGGCTTAGGATTGGCACAGATCTGGCCGTCGTGGCCATCGGGGGAGTGAACCAGCAGATGGAAGACCTTTCTCTCTCCCTCTCTCTGCCTCTCCTCTGTGTAACTCTGACTTTCAAATAAATAAATAAATATTTAAAAAAAAAAAAAAAAACAGGTACTCTGCTGTGGGAAGTGGACATCTTCACTACGAGGCTAAACACCCACCCCATGCAGTTTTCTTGTAGAACACACTCTGTTTTGGTA